TAACCCTTCCTGGTGAGCAAAAGCCTAACCATGATCCCTAACCCTGTGTTTACCTCCAACCCTAAAGTTAGTTCTAATGCTGTGCTACCAATGTAACTCTAACTTTAATATTACCTAACTTTAATGTAACTCTAACTTTAATATAACCTAACTCCAACCCTGTTAATCTACCCACTTACACTTACCTATCACTAATTTCCAATTACCTAACATTAATCTGTCCCTAACATTAATTCTAAAAATAAGTGGAACTTCTAACCCTTTATCCAATACACTAAACCCCAGCTTAACACTCATTTTAATGCTAATCCCACCCCACTGGTTTCTCCCAATAGGGATATCCTAAAGGCGTCAAGGCCTTATAGCCTACATCCTATAACCTGTAACAAAACCCTCAACTTAACCGTAAGTTAATCCACAACCTTTACCTATCCCATAACCCTGTCACTAACCTAACTTCTAACCCTAGCTTTATCCTAAAAGCTAGCCCTAATGACTAATTCAAACCCTAACAGTCCTCATCCATAACCCTGAGGCTTCTAGATTTTCAGGGGCAATAGGGAAGTTCCACAACATTCGATTCTCTCCTAAGCACTTGGCCTAACAGGAACAGGTATTCAGGAGCAGAGCTTGAGGAGTATCTAGCCAGCTACTGGGTTGTGGGCTGACTTCTGGGAAAAGCAGCTATAGGCTTTGTGATCTAATATTTCCAGAAGAGGATACCCAGACTGATGACAGCGTGGTCAGAGTCAAATGTCTCCAAGTTGTTCGATTCTTATTCAAGGAATTGATACAAAAGTCCATACAGATTTTCAAAAGTAGCAAGATAACTTTATTTAAAGCAAAACAATAGAGAAATAAGATTATATTGCAAGGAAACACTGAGTGATGAATCTTCAGGGCGCCCATTTTTGGGGGGACTTCGTTTTATGTGGTTCCAGGTAAAAGGAGTTAGGCTATTAAAGGGTACGATGAAGACAGTTCTCTAATTTTATAATCATCTTTCTATTGCTCATGTTCTTTACCATAAGGCATCTGACTTTAATTATATGCACTCATAACTAAGGAAAAAAACCTTTCCTCCTCAACTTCCTTTGGTCATGGTGTTTCATCCCTGACTAGGACAGAAGTTGTTACCAGAGAGGGGTATTTCTATGACAGACCTAACAGTGCTACCTGTTGGCAGAAAGTAGACTTTGGGATGCTGTACTACAAAAGGGGATGAACACTTTCAGCAGGGTATACAGGGTACTCCTAGTGTCCCTGGAGGAACACGGAAGGCAGTAGTGTTGAGAGCAATGTGACTTATGGGGCCTCAGCTCAAAAGGTTTCAGAGGAAAGAAAGTGAGAAAGTGGCATAGAAACCATTCTTGTGATATTTTGGTGAAGCAAATGGCTGCTTTCTTTACTTGTGCAAAAAAAAAATAATAATAATCTGAGGCTAATTTGAAGAGTATTTGGATAAATGGGCTGGGCAGAGGAGCTTTCAAAACAGCCTAGTATTGACCTCATCATGCAGTAATTAATAATCACTCTTATAATGAAAAGGAGCAAGCTGGATTAAAAAATACAAAATGTAGTTTGAGGAGAAAAAAAGAGTACCAGGAAGTGTAATAGAGCTAAAATGTTTAACAGTATGCTAACGGGAATAAATGGAGTAATGACCTCAGGGTAAGACCCCACCCTACCACGCTTCCAACTTGTGAAAGAGAAATTAAAACAAACAAACAAAAACCACTTAAGCAGTAAAGAAAGACATGAGCTTTCCACTGAGCAGCGGAAGTTGGCAATTTTAGCTACGTGGTTCTGGCTTTATTTAAATCCAAGGATACAAAAGGGACTGTGGAACCTCCCTTCCCTGCTAAGGAAAGCCAATCAGGCATGGAGAGGCAGAATTTGGAATTGCCCTGCTGTTTCTTTGCTTTGGTCCAGCATTTCTTCACATGTTCCTTTTTCTCCCTTCTGGAATGGTAACGTATATTCTGTGCCATTTTGTGTTTTAAGTATGCCATCTGCTCTGTGACTTTGATTTTACAGCTAATTACAGTTAAGCAATTGCCCTGAGTCTCAGAAGCGACTTCGAACTTTTAACAACTGTTAAAGACCTCAGGGACTGTAGGAAGTCAGACTAAAGGCATTTTGCATTATGATAAGGCTCCAAGGGTGGAATGTGGTAGTTTGAATAAGAATGGCCTCCAAAAGGTACACACTTTTGAACCTTAGTCACAGGGAGTGGCACTACCTGAGAAGGATTAGACAGATTAGGAGGTGTGGCCTTGTTAGAGTAGGTACAGTCTAATGGAGGAGTCTAACTGGGGTTAGGTGGGTTTGAAGATTCAACCCCCCCTCCTGTTTCCCTCTTCTCTCCTTCCCCTCCTCTCCCCTTTTCTCTCTCCTCTCTCTGTCCCCCCTCCTCTCCCTCCCTTCCTCCCCATTTCTCTGCCTCCACACCAGGATGTAGCACTCACCACCGTAGCACTTTCTATGGTACCAGGCGCCCTACCATAATGGTAATGAAAGAAACCCCTAAAATTGTGAGCAAGCTAGTAAGCAGCACCCGCCATGGTCTCTGCGCTATCTCCCGCCTCCAGCTTCCTGACCTGTTTGAGTTCCTTTCGGGACTTTCTTCAGGGATTGACTAGGCTGTTGAAGTGTAAAGCAAATAAAACCTTCCCTCCCCAATTTGCCTTGGTCATGGTGTTCCATTCCAGGAACAGTAACCCTGACTAAGGCAGTGGTATATAGAAGGGTCTCACTAACGGTTCACTTGAGAAAACTGTCCATCTTGCCTCACATGAATGCAAAGCAGTTCAGGTTGGACAACGTCTCCCCATCTCGGTACTTGGACGTAGCTTGAAATGAGTTTGAATGGTTATTGATGGTTATTAAGACACACATTCCACTGTGCAGAGGAGCACACATGTAGCTCAATAAGGTTCTAAGACTGCCAAGCACAGTATGATAAACGGAATGTGTATGCAGCCCAGACTAAGGGTCTCTAAACTATTCCCTGTGCCTAACCTGCCTCAGCTTTGCTCCAAGTTTCAGAAGGCAACATGGATTCTATCAGCAATTAGGACAGATATAATTCAAGATAATTTTGGCAAGAATCTGGTTTTCTGCTTGTGCCTTGGTAACCTGAGCGAATCTGAATTTGAATGTAATGGAATCATTTCTTCCATAGAGAAAAATCTCAAGATGCTAGCACATCACGCTGGTGCCAAGAAACCAGCTGTAATTTTGAGATATCAGGACCCCTAAAGAGAAACTTTCCGTGCTGTTAGGGGACAATGGGGACAGTGGGGACAGTGGGGAGGGTATGCTAAGGGCAATCCAGTGGATGCTCCCTCCTGTGAAGGTCCAAGTTCATTTGAAGAAAGAATAACCTGAACTGGAAAGATTCTCTGCCCCTCTAAGCCAACCGCTGAGGAGATTACCTCCCCAGGGTCAGCACAGCTTGGAAGCATCATCCTTGTGGTACTGCTGTGAAAGCATGATAAGATTCAGGATTGAGGGGTTCAGGAAGTACCAGCCCACAGGTTCAGGGAGCAGCTGAAGTCAGGCAATTTGTGCTGGAGTTGTGGTGGGGAGACCCCGAGGAACAACTAAGACATGTTATTCCCTGTACACAAAGTAGAGGCCAGGGAAGAGAGGGCGAGCCTCCTGAGGGCACAATGGCCCTCGGCAGCAACCAAGGCGTAGCAATCACTGCTACCAGCACCCCCGAATCTAGGGGAGTCAGCCTGGTGAGGGAGGCCAGAGGCTCGGCTCTCTATGGCTGTGCCCATCCAGCAGACAGAACAGATCCTCTGAATTAGATCCTAAAAGGCCATTATCGGCACCCGTGCCTGCCTCCTCTCCTAGGACTGAGGACTGTCTGATTCCCAGCTGAAGACTGTAATAAGCTTCGTCCACAGTTCCAAGGTACCTGCTCCATTTGATGAGCACTTCAGTCCACCCCCCAATAATACCATCCTTTACTTTTGGTTAAGAATCTCCTGCTCTGTGGACACAGCCTTCATCTACCCCAGAAGTGGCTCTTCATTCTTGTACCCACACCCTGTGAGTACAAGAGAAGACCCTAAGTGCCTGCCTCCACAGACTTGGAAGCTTTTGACCTCAGGACTAGCATGTGGGGCTCAGTTCCCATTCTTAGGATTTCCCAGCCCATACATAGTTTCCACTCTGCAACAGACTTGGGCAGACTTCACAGAAAATCACACAGACAGCAACAACTCAGAGGAAATGCAGCTTCTAGGAATTTATAACAAAGAAAGAACCAACTAAAGGGGAACAAACTAAAAGGAGAGAGGGATGCAAGCCAAAGTCTATCTAGGAAACAGTCAGCATCTATTGGGGGGGGGGGGTTACGTGGCATCAGTTAACACCACCCCACCAAGAAAAAATGGTGTTAATTTCTTTGCATTGATATAAACATGTCAGGATACAGCATAAAGTGGGGATTCTGAAACAAAAACCTTCACTTAGTTTAAAAAAAACACTATTTGCAGAAGCATAAAGGATACCAGGTGGCAAGGAAACTCACTCTGTTGCCCTCTGTCTGGGCCATCTTCAGTCAACTATGTTGCTCCAAACTCTAGGAGCAAGGACCATGAGCAAAAGAATGCCGGATCATTCTCCATATCCACTCACAGAGTCAATGAGTCAAAGAGAGCGAGCGGCCCTGTGCGTAGGTGGGCAGAAAGGCTCAACAGTGAGCGTTCTCCCTTGCCGTGGGCACCCTTCCTGTCCAGCAGGTGTCAGGGGCCTCAACTCACATTTGTCTTGCCTGCACGGAGCAGGCTTAGACTTAGGCTATCACAAACATTTCTCAAAAACTTTGCCAACACAGAGAACTCCCAGCCAAACTCCTCCAACAGTGTGGTACGGCAAGCCCTGGAAGCCTCACAGAAGACTCTGGGGGAACTCTAGGAACATGATCGTTGTTTGAAGTAAATCTCTGTAACTTGTGTGGAACTGACACACAACCCGCAACTTGCTCATTCCATTCGCAGGCCCGTCTCCACACGAACAGCCCCACCCAGGCTGGACTCAGGAAACTCAACGGCTTGGTCTCCCCCGAAGGCATCCCAGGAAGGAGGCTTGGCTGGAAAGCTGTTGCACCTGGAAAGGCAGCTCAGCATCACACACAGAGGCACGTTCTTGGGCTTTGGGACATTTGCCTTCCCACGTGGGTGCCTCCTGGCCCCATCAGACTCATTCTGGACTTCAGAGAGGGATCTGTGATCCCCATAGCCCAGCCCAGTTCTACGTCTAGAAACATCCAACACAGGTCACTTCTTAAGTCACCACCCAGCAGCACTAGCTCTAAAGAGAAAACAGGCAAACCTCAGAAGGCCTCACCTGGAGAGCAAGGGCTGGCTCAGCTCCATGGTGGACACGGGTGCTGGCACGGCAGCTGCGGCAGGCATCACCTCCAAAGAACTGAAAGGGAAGATCTCTGTCCTGTACACTGCCGATTCTCACATCAGAACAGATTCAGTTTCAAGGGGACACTGAGTGGCATGATCCCCATAGTCCCATATACATCCACGCCGTTCTGAGTAACTGACAGAACCGTGAACACTGTTCAGACAAGGAACTCTGCAGAGCTAGCCAGAGGGAAGCATGCTAATGTGAGCAGGCTCATTGGCAGGTCAGAGAGAGCAACTGACAAGGCCATCACTGACACTAGCCCAGGCCTGGCAGGACAAATCTCACAGTGGCTATGCTAAACACTGGACACCAGAGCAAAGCAAAGGCAAAGGCCGGGCATGGGGCCAACATCCGCAATCACACCCCTCCACAGGCTAAGGCAGGTGGACAGCTGGGAGTCTGAGGACAGACAGATCTGCACAAATAGACTGTATCACAAAGCAAACAGAAAGTGAGTATACAGTACCTGTTTCTATTTACTCAGAATTCTACAGAATTTTCATGGAGTCATTGCCTCTAAGTTTGAACGCTCCCTCCAGGAAGAAGGAGGGAGGTGTATGAGACTTGGGAATTACCCAAACTTCATGTCTTGGAAAGCTGAATTTTTTAAGATTGACAAAGATCCCTCCCCAATGCTACAGAAGCAGCAAGCAACTGCTGGGGGTGGGACTCTGACCAGCCAAGCCTCTGAAGGAGCTTCCCTCTCTTTCTCCCTCTCCTCTCTCCTTCCCATTGCCTAGGGAGGAGCCCACACTTGCCAAGCTACTTGGCAGAGAGCTTCAGGGTTCCAGATTTTGAGGTGGGCTTTTGGTGATGGGGCCGTCTTTGGCCATTCCTGCTCTGCAAGTGACCCCTTAGACTCATCCATTCATGAAGATGGACTTCGGTGATATTGTTAGTCTGATTTGTCATCAATTCCCTCTCCAAAAGGAGTAGGCATTTATTCCTCTCTCTCCCAGAAACAGTGTCACACAGAAAAATGGAGCTTGTCATTACAAGGGAAGAATATTCCTAGGCCTGGAGTGTCAGAGCCTGGTGGGTGAGATGAAGTAGGTTCCACCATGACCTGGAAACACTAGACAAGCCGGTGTCCACTGAAGCAGGACATGGCAACCCAGTTACCATCAGAGGACCCCAGAACATACTTCTAGCCTTCTGGAGATATCCTCCAATCTTGTGGGGTTTGTTACTCTTTCTCTACTGAAGACCTCCCTCTGATCACTCCATACACTGCCTTACTGTCAGCTGTTTGAGAACCTTGTGCCTCTTCTCTCAGTTACAGAACCCTGGCCCACCCTGGACACTCTCCATCTTCATCTCTTTATGTCCTTGTGATGTTGGATACTATCACTTTACCACAAGACCCTCTACCGCCCTGTACACCCATGTCTCCTAAGTCCTCCCAGAGTCCTGTCATCTCTCCATGTCTCGTCATGGGTTAGGCTTTTTGATCCATCTCAAACAGCAATTTGAAATATTAAAGGTATATGTAACCTTGCTAATTCTCAGAGACCAGCAGCCTTAGTCTAAGGAACAAACATGAGGAGAAGCTGGTAAGAGCAAGGATGATCACTGGCCAGGGGCACACCATCCAAAGCGCAGGATGTACGTGTGTGTGCCAAAGTTTAGGGTATTCTTTTGGTGACAGAAGGAATGCTGACATTTTGAGAAACACATAAGGAAGAACCTGATCCTCAAGCTCTGAGATGGTGATTCTGTAAACTAAGCCCTACTCTGCCCTGTGACCCACAGACAGCCAAGAACTGTCCTGGCTTACCTGTGAGGATGATGAAGTTTCAAGCCTGCGGTCGAAGCTGCCTGTCCAGCACTTGGTCCTCGACCCTCCTGTGGGAACATGCTCTGGAAACAATTACTGTGCAGATCAGCGAATCCTGCAGATAAAGAAATTCCACAAGCCACAGGTGAAAGGAAAGTGCACAGCACACGGTGGTGCAGCCACTTTTCCTGGGGGCAGGCTGGCCCAAAAGAAGCCATTTCACCACCCCAAGGCCCTAGCCTCTCACTCCAGAAAAGGAAGGACAGATCCTCCACCTCTGTGACCCATCAGACCTCCAGGGACAAAGCCAAAGTCCACTTCTCTTGACTTTACCCTGGGCTTTTCCACTATGGACTTCACACAGTCCAGTCTCCATCTGCTTCACACATGTTCCTGTTCTTGGTCATGACAAGCAATTTGCACTTGAGGATTCTGCCACATGCCTGATTCACTGTTTCCATGTTTTACCTCTTTTCTCAAATTTCAATGCTATTTCCTTAAGAAGGAAGCTGTTGCTACCTCATCATGCCATTGGCTTTCTCTCCTGCTGTGCCAGACAGTGACCTATCAAAATACCTCTCTCTCTTAAAAGGACAGGCTAGTAGCCTTAGTCATCTCTGGAAGGTCACACAGGTAGGTCAGGAGCCTGAAAGGCAGCCTCCTTCTTCCCTGAGTCCATGTGGTAGTCAGCAGCATTAATAGAGCTTGGTTTCAGATCAGAACCAGAGGTCTGGGGCAAGGCTTGCTCTAGCCTCCGGCCTGAACACCACATGAGAGGTAAAGACAAGGAACATCTGAAGGACCACAGGCCAGCGAGCCTGCTGTGTGCAGTGTCAATGGAGAGAGACAGACATAATGTGGAGCTTGTGATGCTTTGGATGGGAAACGTCTCCCATAGCTCAGGTATTTGGTATAGTCAGGTGTCAGGTATACCTGAGTGACTGACGGAACTGTGAACGCTGTTCAGACAAGGAACTCTGCAGAGCTAGCAGAGGGAAGCATGCTAATGTGAGCAGGCTCATTGGCAGGTCAGACAGAGCAACTGACGAGGCCATCACTGACACTACCCTAGGCCTGGCAGGACAAATCTCACAGTGAATGTGCTTGGGGGCACTTTGTGAGGAAGGGGCTATGGAACCTTCAGGTGATGAAGGGCTGCTGGGGTGAGTATGTTTTTTAAGACATACTGTTTCCTAAAGTGACAATTAGAAGTTGCAAGAAAAAAATACATTATACTCAAAGAATGCTACAAAACCCAGGCAAATCAACAAGGTCTTGACACGATGGAAAGCTGCGTATCTCTGCTGTGTTATACATGCAAAAATGCAATTTAAAGGCACTCAGAATGACAGTGATAATTAACAAACAAACGCCTACACTTCTACCCTAGAGCAATGCGTAGGGCAGGAAGGAGCAGGTTCTCACACATAAGGCAAGGGCAGTTTGGGGCGTAGGAGATGACACATGGGAGGGTATGTCATCACGCAGCGATTCCCTCCCTTTTTACTTCTTTCCTAAATGCCTTGTTTTCCATTTATATTTTTTTCTATAGGCATAAATGAGAAATAATGTGGGAAATTTGTGGAAAGAACCTGTTCTGACTCAAGTAGTTCCGGGTTTTGTGAACTTCACAGATCCAAGCAGATGGTGTCACACCTACGCGTCCATCCCAGCACAGGACTATGGACTTAGGTAGTTGAGGGGTCGAGACAAGAATTTCACAGTCTGTGCAGTGTGGACGCACCTGCATGACAGGGATCGCTGACGGTAGAAATGGCCCTCAACACAGTGGCATCTTCAGGATCCATCCCAGCCTCTTTCTGGTTTCTATGTTCTGGCTGCCCCGTGTGGAGGAAAACTCCCCCGGAGGATGATGGTGCAGGGGGCATTGTCCATGATTCACGGTTAGCCACAGAGGAAACAGACAGGTCGTCGCTGGCAGCCAGAGAGCAGAGGTCAGGGGCAGGGTATATGGAGGTTAGGCTGACAGGATGGTAACCTGGTCCCTCCTGGTACCTGTCACATCCATAGAGTGACCTGGGCGACATAAGCAAACAATAAACCTTGGTGGGGAGGAGCAGGGGATTGGTGGTTGGAAGGGAACTCAAGCTGATGAAGCTGACGAACCTGGCACAACAGTAGTCATCCTGCCCACCTTTCCCTGAGTCTGCCAAGGTCACGGCTTTGTGCCCAGAGTCCCAGACCCTTAATAAAGTCTACTGCATAGAACCAGAAAACAGGAAGTGATTTGCAAGACACTAATCCCAAGTGAATAAATGATGGTTAATATTAAAGGAACAGTAGTCAGAATATTCCATCACGGCTACTGTGCCTCAGACGTGATCAAAGCTTTTATTGAGCCACAGCCTGTACGGCAGGCCCTACCACACCCTCATTCTGTGGGAGAGGGGTCACATGAACCTGAGGTCAGGGTCCAGCCTGGCACTGCCCCATTGACTGAGTAGCACTGGGGTCAGGCAGATGGCTCATGCCTTGCCAGGGCCTCAGAGCTGGTGGAGGATCTCAGGCAGTGAGATACACACCAGTTGCTGCTTAAACCACGAAAAAAAAAAAAAAAAAAAAAAACCCTGACCAAAGAGCTGAAAAAAGAAAACAAAAACAACCCACAATGTCATGACCCAGCACAGGCAGTGCTGAGGTTAAGGTTAAGGTTAAGGTTAAATTGCACTCTGGTCTCCACCGAAAGAAGGAGGGGACCATGGAAGACATGTGTTCCATGCCTTGAAATGACAGTACCTGAAAGCCAGCATCTGTGAGGCTGTGTTGTCTCCAGGAAAACTCAAATCCATGCACTGCGGCCTCTGTGATCCCTGCATGGTCTCTGGGGACTGTAAAGTTCTACTTGGTTCAGATCGAGCTAACAGATGAGAGAGAGAGAAAGAGAGAGAGAGAGAGAGAGAGAACATTAGGTCCTAGCCTCTTTCCCAGCTGACAGCAGCTCCACAGATTAGAATCATACATGGTCTTCAGTCATCCAAATATCCTTGTGACCTTGGTTGACTTGAGCGCAAACCAACAGTTTCAAACGCGGAGATTGAGTCACTTCCCAAATCAATTCGTTGTCCCCTCTTTCTGGCAGTATCATTCCCACTTCCAGACCTACACAGCCATGCTGGGGTCAACCCAAGCCAGCTAGATCTTGGAGAAATCAGCCCCTAGAAGCCAGTGTGCTGCTCACCTGACCACATAGATGCAGCCACAGGCTCTTGACGGTCTCCTGAGGGCTGCAGCGGTTCAGGACCCCACTCCTTTGCACTGGAGGCTCCTGACCTGGTCTTGAGGGCTCTCTGAACGTGCAGGGGAAGAGCCTTCTGACGTCGCCGATAATTGGCAAACCAGTTGTACACCTGCTCAGGAGTCAAGCTGGTCTCTGACGCCAGTTTCTCCTGGCCCCAAAATAAAACAAGTCTTGAGTTACAGGGTTACATAGAGGTGGCCCGGACAGCTCATGTCTACTGAGGAAGAAGAGTGCAGCTGGATCCCTGTGATGGGGACAGAGACGGTCATCAGTGAACTGGTACCCTGGGAAACACTGTCTGTACTGAGGAAGTCGAGAGCAAGACAACCATGCCCGCCTTCTGTCCCCACTCCACTCCAGGCCAGATGAGACCACCATGGACCCTTGGCTCAATGCCTGCACAGCCGCCGACCAGGAGCTTTGTCATTGCCCCATTGTGCCCTGTAGATTGGATCGCACGGTAGAGGACTGAGAAGCACTGGGGAATTAATCAAGGTAAGAAGTGAGTAGTCCCACGTGAGAAAGCAAAGCGTGTCAAAGGTCAAGAAAAGCTGGCTACCACTCAGAGGCTGAGAGGAGGCTGTGTACCCCACCAAGCAGAGGAGAAGGAAATAAAGACAGCACAAAGAGCTACAGAGTGGAGGGGGAGCCACCTAAAAGGAAGGGGACCTGTCTATGAGGAAGACAAGGGAGACCACGGGGAAGATGGAGAGCAGCTGGCTGCATAGAAGAGAGAGGCCTTCCTTGGAAGGAGGTGGGAGGCTCTGAGGCTGGACAGGGGAAAGCTCCTGAAGTGTGGCAGAGAAACCCCTGCTGTGGACTGTTCTTACCAACTGGGCCTTCTTGGGAAAAACACCCACACTTGTGGCAAAGTTGTGCAGGTGGCGCCGAATCTCTGGGAGGAAGTTCCGGCTCTTAGGGCCCTCGGGGCAAAGGGTTGTGGGTGGTGGGTTCCTGGATAAGGAGGGACAGGAAGAGTTATAACATAAGCTTCATCCTCTGGAGGAGGCCCTGGAGTCCCAGGTGGGGTCCATTTGTATGTTGTTAGATGAGGGGCCCTTGGGATGTTCCTCCATGCCTCACATCTAGATGTCACCTGTTCCACAGACAGGTGACCTCTATACATGCCATATGCCCTTTATGAAGAAATTCAAGGATACAGCAGATAAAAAATCAGCCTAGGCACATGAGGAAGATGGCTACAGGGTCGCTTCAGTGACTCTAAAATCTCCATGCAGTGTAGAGAGGAGAGAGAAACGGCTCTGGGCCTCTCGCATAGTATAAGGACCAACACAACAGAGCAGAAAAGGAGAAGAGATGCATGAGGAGGAGAATGGAGGGCCTGAGAAGCTGAGTGTAGGGGATGAGTGGGGGAGGGGCCAAGGGAAACCAGCATCGATGTACGGATGTTTGGGGCAGCAATCTTGCTTATTCTCTGAGAAGTTGTGCTGAAAGGGAGCAAGTCAGGAGGGGCAGCCGAAGGAGCCAGCGTACAATGCTCCCAGTTTTCCCAGCTCATGGAGCTGACCCTGCTCCTGGAAGTTCCCACTCAGCAGAGTTCCTCCCTCCCAGACTTTAGTTCTGGACCATAGCCGGCCTCCAAGACACTACAGGGCTGGCCAGCACTGTTACAGCACAGCCCATGTTCTGGCCACTACCCCACACGGCCCTGAGGTTGACGGACAGCCTCCCTGGAGACCCTTGGAAATGGCAGGTAAAACAATCCACCACCTTTTCCTATGGCTGCAGGCTGAAAACAGATCTGTACCTTCAAAGGGTTGGAAACAAACTTTTCTTTGATGTCTGCTATTGCTACAGAACGTCTGGAGCCTCAGTCTCTGGCATCTTACCTTGCCATCTTTCTGCCTGGAAATGTTGTCTGTGTGGTTTCCCTACTCTCATCCACGGCTTGGCAAGGCTTGCACCAATGACCTGGTCAAAAGTAACCCCTTCCTCACAGCAAAGGCCTAATCTGTCTTGGTCTTCTTACTGTCTGAGCCCCACATGAAGAAACCCATTTTATTATTCTGTGTTGTCCCTTGAACTTTTCCATGGGACAACTGTAGGAAATCAGGGGGTGCTCTGTACCCACAAGCTCCAAGCACCTAGCACGTAGGACACACTTCACCATCAAATGGAAAAGACACCATGATTGCTTAGCTGCAGTCTGCTGGCTAGCAGCCCATGGGGATGTGATCATATCCCCTGTTTCGAGGCTCATTATCTGCTGAGCTTCAGAGGACCTGCCTCACACTGTCAACATTTGCAAGACCCTGGCCAATGCACAAAAAGCATCTTCAACCTGCCGAGGGTGGAGTCCGTGACTCAGGGAGTCTGCATTACTTGGAGCATCAAACAGAATCTTTCATCCTTCCTTCTGTGGTGAGTCGCCCCAGATAAAGAACAACGCTCCAAGGTCTCAGCGTTCAGGGAGCCCTGGCCTTGTATCTCCCCTGCAAAACCTCAGCCATGTGACCAGACTTTCTCATGTAACGCTTCTCGTCCATAAATGAGGAAGATGAGACTAACGCTAACAGAATTCTCTTCCTGTAGCCCCAGTGTCTAGCCTGGAACCGAGACATGTGGATCAGATACTCTGAGAAACAGCTGAGCAAAACCCAATTGCCCTTCACACTTGCTATCCTCAACAATATCCTTCTTGTCTTGTGATGATGGGATGGAGAGACAGTCAGAAGGCCAGAAGCGTCCACTCCCAGCCACCAGCCACTGGAGTGTCAGGCAGAGTGGTGGCTTAGTGCTGGACACACAAGGACTAACGTCAGTGATGTTCTCCTGAGGTGACTTCCCGGCCTTGCTTCCCTATCTCCCCTGGGGATGGGATGCTACATCCAGCCATGGAGACCCACGGAGCCAGCCAGCATGGGGGAGAATCAGCAAGTACCTCTTCCTGCAACGAAACTTCTGCACTGGGCTCAGCGTGGTGACCCCCAGCTTCCTCATGGTCAGGTGGTAGTGAATGTCATTCCAGAGCTGTACCAGCTCCTGGCTGCCTCCTGGCACCTTACACCCCTGTGGAGAAAACCTGATGAAACCCAGTCATTCCTATAGTCCCTGGAGTGTTTGGGAATCTATCATCCACACCAACTCAGCCTGTGGGAAAGGCAAACAGGTGAGAAGTGGGAGCACAGCAGTCTCCACCCACAAACCACTAATGTTAGATAAGCATATAAGCCTAGTTCCCACTAGGCCTCAACCCGGGGCCACCCAGCTACCTCATGGGCTACAGCGGACATCTCATGTCTGTTGTGAAGAGATTGGAGGCCTGGTTTCTGATCTAAAACCCTCCAAAAAATAAGTACGCCCAGCCCTTCACTGAAGTACACCCATACAGAAAGCAAAGCACAGCAACTTCACTATGCCTTGCTCCCGTTAGCTGGCTTCGGGCAATAACTTTCCAAATGAGTTTCCAGTCTCATTTCAGGGACTTTAATCACTGATGCCACTAATTGCTAGTCACCTCAGTCACAACCACACCCTCCCCTGTCTTTTCACTCCATTTTTCTGGACTGTTGTGTGTCATCATTTTGACACAGGCTGGCCTGCAACCTGCCATTGACTTTACTTTGTCTTCTGAGTACTGAGGTCACAGGTGTGTACCACTCTGACAAAGCTGTCCGTGCCCAGCATGTTACCATGTCACAGCCACACATTTTCTCACCACCAGGCAGAGGATCACTATGCAATAAGAGTCTTCTAAAAGGTACTGGCTGATGTTACCAAAGTCTCACTTGGCTTAGTGGAAGTGGGCCATCCTGCCTGAGCTTATGACACTTTGGGGACAGTGGACACTGCTCTAGTCCCACTCCTCTCTGTACCCCCCCCACCACTCTCATACCTCTAAAATCTGGAGGGCTGAAAGGTGCTGCTCCTGCCGGACCAGGACCTGGGCACACGCGAGCACCACGTCTGCATTATGGAGCAGGTGCTGAAGATGCCGGCTCTCCAGAATGGCTTTCACCAAAGACAGCACCTGAACAAGGTTGTGCTGGAAGTCCCGACACAGCTTGCCTGCGAGAATCACCAGGTCTTGTGGGAGACAGTGGGTGTCCCCATGCTCCCGCAGCAGCCTCAGGAAGTTCTGCATCCTGTCGACACAGAATATTCAAAGAAACACTGATACCAACCGTGTTTTATCTAAGAGTCTTCAGATCAGTTCCAAAAGGCAGGCAGTATGTGAGCCTCAGCCTGTATCACTTCCAAGGGAGGATAACTCACCTGAGAAAAGGTAGGCCTCAAAGGTCCTCCTAATTTCCCCAATAGCTGTGTCCTTAAGAAAGGCAGCTATGCACCAATAATTGAGCAGGACATTCTGCAACTACCCAATCACACTTTTTTCAGTCTTAACCCTTTCTTCTGCCCTTTTTTCCTTTCCTATGCCCCAGGCACTGACATAAGCTATGATCTGCTTTCTTTCTGGTCTTTGTTGTGTCCTGTGTGGGTTTCCCAGAGACCCTGGCATCTGCCACACGACTGGCGAGACCGTCACCTAACCATGGGCATTCAGTCTTTTCACAGACCAGGGACGCAGATTTCAAGGATGAAATGCTGGGCCCCGGAGCCTCTGACAACAGGAGGAACCGGGAGAGCGATCACAGTGACTTCTCAGCGAAGTCACAGGCTTGAAGAGCTCCTGCCTTAACGTACTGGGGCCGCATGCTGATGATAGATTTTCAGGCAACACCCTAATCTCAGATATTCTATTTCTGTGGGACACAAGGGGAAAGTGTGGCCGAGGACAGGCTGTGCCCGCCAGCAAGAACCCCAGGCTGGTTCCTGCGCACACTGGAGTCTACATCACCAGCCCCCAAAAGAAAGTTCAGAGATCACACAGGCCAGGAGGAGAGCTGTCTTAGGATTCCGGTTTTGTCTAGTACCGTAAACTCTGTGCTGGCTGGTGTGGGTCTGATGCGACCCTTATCTAGGAATAAAGTGGCTCCTGCTGAATCCTCCACCCAGGCTGGCCCAAAAGGCCAGCAACATGCAGCTCAGTACCTTTCCAAAACACTGTTCTTTTCTAGGTAGAGGCTGGGGAATGCTAAACTCCAAACACCAGAAGAGGAGCCGGAAACGCACGGTGCTCAGCAGCACAGGCCCCCTGCCTTTCTGGACACCCCCACCCACATGCTCACCGGAGGCGCTTCCTTACCACACCCTCCCATCCTCTCCTCTTCCGCCCGAGCCTCCTTGAGGCCCTCCCCCGCCCATCTACTTTTGAAGCTAGTACAACTGGCGCTCCTGGGCTAGAAGGTATAGTTACAAAGTATACAAACCTCAGTCTCTGCAACCCTTGGGAATACTGGATGTCGGAGCTAGACACCAAGACCCCTGCTTTGTCAGGGTGTGATAAAGTTGACTTAGGACACTCCCTGAAACATCCTCCCAGTGCCTTAGCAAACGTGGGTCACATGGGAATTTGGATATTCCTGACACAAACTCTGAGGACAAACACCTTTGGGGCCTGGCAGGGCTAGAACAGGACCCATATTAGGGTTCCCATATACTCAGAGGGTGGGCATTAACCATCTATAGCTGTGGAGAGAGTTTGGGGGTTCTGGGAAAATGTGACTCCTGGTAGCTGGTTTGAAGAGTGACTAAGCCTGTGGGGAGAAGAAAAATAGTTTAGCAAGTACAAATGTAGTATTCAAAAGCAAGGAGGAGAACAATGTTCTATCCAGCTCCCTGGAGATTGTAGCCCAGGCACACTGGGCTCACAGCCTCAGGAGAGTTTCCCTAACCCAAGTTGTGCGTTGGATTTGCTTCACAGAATTCTAAGGTTGGGCTCCTGGGTATAAGAAACCGTGATCAGAGTGCTTGACCATGTCACCTGCTACAGTCAAATGTGTGAGTGCTGCACACCCATCTGGAAAGCGAATACGTACAGCACATAAAATCACAGTTGCTGCTGGAGGAGAATTTGTATTGTTTGTTATTCTAGTTTAGTTTCTGGCTTGCTCATGTTTTGGATTTGTGTTTTTTGAGATAAGACCTCATGTAGACGAGCTCCAACTAACTGCAGCCCTTGAATTCGGTACGTAGACAACAGAGCCTTGAACTCCAATCCTCCTGTCGCTATTTTCCAAGTGCTGGGATTGCAAAGGAGTGAACTCATCCCTGGATTTATTATTCCTGGGATTATAATCCTGGAACAAGGATTCCGTGGTGGTCATTGCTGTGGTTCATACATATCGCAGCTGGATAGGACTATTAATTTTTCCCTCCCTTGGCACCTTCTGGGGCTATGAATACCATTCCCTGGAACTAATTATTCCTCCTCAGTAGTCATTAGTTTCCTCTATTTTTTAATTTTTTTTTAATTTAATTTTATTAATTACACTTTGTATCCCCCCATAAGCCCCTCTCTCCTCCCCTCCCAGTCTCACCCTTCCTCCCCCTTCTTCACGAATGCCCCTCCCCAAGTCCGCTGATAGGGGAGGTCCTCCTCTCCTTCCTTCTGATCTTAGTCTGTCAGATCACATCAGGAGTGGCTGCATTGTCATCTTTTGTAGTTATTATTTAGGGTTGTGGTCCTGTGACATTTCTCCCCTTCATGTTTGTTGATTATTAATGATAGTACCAATTTTCACATCTCATTTCGGTGCCCACACTGTTGAAGCATCCAGTGGATAGAACCTTGCTGTCGTTTCTAGACGGCACAGTCTAACAGTAGATGTCCTGGTCCTGTGAGCTAGGGCTGCAGAAGTTGTGTTGCATAATATTCATTAGACTGTGCACCCCACAATCAATTGATATATGTATTTTGACAAGTTGTAGGGTTGTTGTTTTTTTTTTGTAATCACCTCACTTTGTTGCAAAATAAGCTTCTTTGTTGTGGGGTGAACCTACGCTAACTGTGGATATAAAGACAAGGTTTAGAATGCAGCTACGGAATACGTGCGTCTAATGCAATGACCGTCTCGGTCTCTCCTGAGATTCATGAGCACACTAGCCATGGGTAGCCTAGGCTTCCGATACCAGATATCATCTTCTTCCTGTTAAGCAGGACTTGGATCCAATCAGACAGACATTGGTAACCCCGAAGCCATGAGTGTCATTGTTTCACCCTTAGGGTTAGCGAGCCCCGCTGGTCACTGTTATGGTTTATAAGCACCTCTGCTGGATAGGACTATTCATTTACCCTCCCTCAGCGTCTTGTACAGCACCTCTGGTTATGAAAGCTAGATCTCAGGGAGGAGGATTTTAGGTTACATCCATCTCACATCATCCTAGTCCTGGGCCCGAAGTTTGTGATATCTTGACCAACAGGAAAACAAAACGTTATGGTATATTTTCAGTATGAAGTGCACTTACTGCAGAGAGTCACAGACCAGAAGAGGAGTGGGTCTCTTTCTGTTCTAGTTGGGAGTTTAACACCTGAAGAAACGAGGATCCTGGCTTTCTTCCTGAAACCCACATGGGTACCAATTCAATTTACCTTTCCACTTATTGCATGTTCTAGTTCACCATCTTGTTTTCAAGCTCAAATAGTCTGTCTTGATAAATTTCTTGTCAAGGCTCCACAAACCCTTTATTATGCTCAATGTGTTCTCTTCCAACACTGCCATTGTTCTTCACTGAATTCTTCTTTCATGTTTTTAAAATTAAAATTAATTTTCTTCTTTTCATTTAACTGTCTCTTTGTGTCATCATGTGATTTATTGGCAATTTTTTTCTTATATAATTTTGTTGAGAAGACATATAATTATTCTCTTGAGTTCTTTGGTATTTCATCTAGTTCAACCTAATAGAAGATCATTGAGGGATAGGTAATTTTTAGAGTAATCTCTTATGGTATTTGCTTCTCCTCTCATTCTGGGTTTCATCACTTTTCTTTTTCTGAATTTCTGATGATGAAATTCCTCTGTTGCAAGACCTCAGAGGTGTTTGACCACCTCCCCTTCATGAGCTCTTGAGCCCAGATAACCCATGGTTTTTAATGTATTTTTATTCTTCTCTCATATATTGCTTCCCTGCCAGTTCCCCCTCTCTCCCCTCCCCAGCCTCTCCTCCCCAGCACACCCGTATCTACTGGAAATGCAACAGTCATGAAGCCAGAATAACTGCTTGACACAGCTCCAGCAAAGCTGAGAGGATTGTTGCAATCACGGCCATTCTATCTCTAACTTTTGGGGTTTGGTCTCTGTTGCATTGTGGGGGGGATTTTCTGCATTATGATTCATTTAATGTCTTTTCCTGAGAAAATTATGTCTGAGTCTTTTTAGGAAAATTCTAAAATTTACTTTATCTGGCCACTATTTAGAAGTTTTCTTTATTCCCTGGAGATCATTAACCACAGATAAGCACATAGCTGGATGGGACCATTACTCAGGAATCTTCTTAGGGTAACTGCCTCTGCACAAACTCAAACAGTATAATTGGCACAGAGTAAACAGACAATTAAACCATGGCTAGACAGGAGATAGGCAAGAGATTAACGGTCTTGTCTTATCATAGGCTTAGAGCTCTGACTCTGAAAATGTAGTTTAAAGATAGAGGGTCATGCAGGGTACATCTCTTGAGGAATAGAAATTAGTGAGTAAGATAGATTAATTAAAATAACTGTGTTCTACTTCATAGCATAGATGATGAAATATATAGTAAAAGAGGTTAGGTACGTTAGCATTTGCTATTCACCAAAAGACTGGTTCAGATATTTTCTGTTTTTCTGGAGTGTTCTCAAACTACAAACAATTTTCTGGAGTGCTCTTGAAGTACAAATACTGTTTTTAGGCCATCATATAATACATGTGCTTGATTTGGAGAAGACATTCTTTAGATTCTTTAAATTGGAGTTATAGGCCTAATAATGATAATAAAATCTGTCCTGTTTGTTCTAATTGTGACTGAACTTGTAACCCTGGACATGTAATGAAAAATCAATCATATAATCTGTACTAGTGGATAACCATTAGTCTATCTGTGTCCTGTGAAACTCATATAAATGAAGAAACACCTGATGGCTAGTAAGTCAGAGCTGCAAATTCTGACCATAGCACTGAACTCCCTCCCTCCCCTCACTTACTGCTTATCACTTCTGTGGGCTACCCTGTCATGGAGGAACTTCCCACCCTAGGACAGAGGAAACTG